CAGAAGGGAGCCTCGCCTAGTGTGCAAAAATACCAGGGGCCGGCCCTGGTTATAATATTAAGTAAAACTAGTAGAAACTGATAGAAAATTTTCAAAGTCAGAAGTAAGGAGTTATTCTTGAAATAAAACAATGCATTCCCTCCAAATGACTTTTTAAAAAGTTTTAGTTAATGATGAAGCACTTATTAGTAGTGTACATAAATGAATACTGAGATGCCACCAAATGATTTGCACACCTTTATTATATTTAAAGCTTATATAAGAACTGTACCAAATTTCAAGGGAAAACAACTTTTTATACAAAATCTGACACTTGGATCAAAAATATTTTTTAAAACCCGAATGCTTACCATGTTAATGGTGATAAAGTCATTTGGAACTTTCTTAGCTGGGTAGTGGTGATGGTGGAAGCACCACATCTGTGAAAGAAAAATATGAATAAATACTTTATTAAGTGCCTCAGAAACCTAGGTAATGTACAAAAGGCAGAAGTTCAAGTCAATAAGCCTTCATGTACTGCTTAAGTAGCCAAAGGTGTTCGTATGTCTCCCCTGAGAGTCATGCAACATCTCAAGGAGATTATTTGAACTGAAATACAGTTAAAGGGTTAAAAAAAATTCCATATTTTGTGGTACGGATTCAGTCTGGATCAGGTGACCCCAATGGTAGATTTCTTGAATCAAATATAGTTTAGCTCCAGTGTCCATAAGCAATATGGTAGAACAAGCAGAAAAGCAGGACAGAGGGATATGTAGGAGATCTGTCTCTTCCTGAAATGTTCCTTTGAACACAAGCTGCATGTCAAGACATGAGAATGCTGCTTGTGAGTGCTTCTATGTAGTCACACTGGTGGAAGTAGAGAAAAATGGGGGAAACATAGCACTATTGAATTTTGCAGCCATTAATTTTAGAGATTAACTATTTAATGAGAGACACTAAAATTTCCTTTTAAAACTAAAAACATTTACTAAATATAAGTAATGATCCATTTATAATTTTTATATCTTCCCGAATTTATCTAAAATATTTATTTCATTTTATCATTTTAGTAACAAATATAGCAGTTAAAAATCAGTCCTTTTTTTTGCCTTTATCTTCAGAAGTCTTCGTTTGCCCTGAACTCTTTCAGTGATGTCGGTCATCATTTCTATGTTTCCATAAAATTATTTTTTCAAAACACAGAATAAAATTTTAAAAGTTGTGTTTTTCATGTTAGTTGGAAAATTCTTCTTGTATAAATACTAGTCCAGGGGTCCCCAACATGGTGCCCATGGGCACCATGGCACCCCCCAACACCTTTCCTGGCCTCTGACGTGTGTTTTTAGAAAGTGGGTGGGGCCAAGTGGGGCTCTTGGCCAAAGTGGGGCTTTTGGCAGAAGCTGCCACCAAAGTATTGGTTTTATTCTCGCTCTCACAGTGTATTTTTTTGAAAATTATTCCTCATGTCTGCATGTCCCCTGCACTTGGGCTCTCTCTCTCTGTCTCTCTCTCGCAGTTAAGTGTTGACCTTCACTAACATGCATCTGAAACTCTGTGGAGGAAAGCTGGGGGTGGGAAGCTGCAGTGCTAAAACAAAACAACCAGCTGCTAATCTGCTACGAACTGGCATTCTCAACACTGCTTTTCTGCAGAAGCATTAGCCATCAGGATTTTAATACATATGTGTAACTTTGCTGTCAGCATGAAGAAAATGACTTTCACTTATCAAATATAGCTTAGGCAAACTGCTAATTTACATATTATGTTTTAGGTGGCTACTTAAGGCTCTTTAAGTATTATATCAGTACATAATTAGAGATTCAGAATAGGTAGCAGCTCCCTGTTGAGTGTAATCAGTGACAAATCCAGGTTGGTTTGCTGTGTGTGAAGTAGTACTAAGGGGAAATCTGGGAAACAAGATATTGTTATGGAGCTGCTATGGCAATCAGAGTTCATTCACACAGTACCTTTTTACCTCCAGAGAAATATTTTCATCACGGTTCTTCTGTTGATATTACCATAAACAGAATAATGGAAACAAGGAAATTTCACACCAACATTTCCAAGATGAAGTCTAGATAGCACCCTATTATGCATGCGTGTTTTGCCTTGCTTTTACTGCGCACGTCCGTTGGGTTTTCTTTTTTGTTCTGCGTTGTTTTTCCTCCCTTCAGCACTCAGTTCGTTTTCCATTTGCTGTTTCCCTGGGTTTTTTGAGAGTGCTTTTGTGCTGGTTTTCCCCTTGCTTCGTTTCCAAGTTGAAGGTAATTCAGAAGCATACAGATTCCCTTGGATTTCCCTCTGCCCTTTTCCTGCCCTTCAAAGGTCACTCCACCACCCACATTGTGGTAATTCAGCCCACTCTGCACCTACTGCCGTCCTCCCCCCTTCATCGGTGTACAAGCTCTATTTCCCCCTTGTTATTTTTAATTTTTTAAAAAAATTGACAAGCAGCATGAGTCTAGCAATAAGAGACTGTCATTAGCATCAGATTGCTGAATAAAAAAATTAAATGATGGGAGGAAAGTTTAAAAGGAGCTGTGTGAGGTTTACTTCCCTGCTGGTATTGACTTGAAAGGGGCATCAGAGAGGAGGCAAACAACAGTGTTCCCAGTGGGGGGAAAAGATTTCAGTGCTCCATGCAAACAAAATGGGGGGGGGGATCATTAGCACAGAATGAAATTGACATGAGATGTAAACCGAGAGACTCTGAGATGGGAAGCCTAACGCATTGAAAACATTTTCCCCTTTAATGCTTCACTGAACAAAATTTGGGGCGAGGTGGGGGGAGAGAGGAACCATTTTGGCAGTCTCTGGAAGCCTAACATTAAAATGGTGTCTGAGCCACATGGACCTTCTGCAAACCACTGAACTTAAGAACTGCTCCTCTCCCATACAAATTGCAGCCTGGAGTTTGTTGGGAAGGGAAGAGTGAGAAGAAGGGAGGAAGCACCACCTGACCAAAAGGGCTGTGGTCTGAGAGTGGCAGCAGATGTCCAGTGATTGCCTTGTTGGGGTCTGGATGTTCATTGGGCCAGGCGTTACGGAGAACATTAACTGCAACATGAACTTTGACACTGAAGTGCGGGAGCTGCAGGAGCTGGTGAAGAAGTCCAAAACAGCTTCTCAGCAGCAACAGTAGTGGAGGGTTGCGTGC